TGTATTATTTGTTTGTAGTGTTTTTTATATTTTTCTCTTCCTTGAAAATTCTGGCAAAATGATCGTTGGAAAGAGTTGATCGTTATTATTTGTTGTTTTATTTTTGATAATTTTGATAATTTTTTAATATCAAGGATAAAATGATCAACAATAAATTTGTTCACCACGCGAATTTCTAAGGCATTATTATTGATCATTTTACCGTTGATATTAAAGAAAAATTCAAAAAAATAACTATCAAACGTTACTACATATAAATTCTCATAATTTATTAATAAAATAACAAATATATTACTAATTTATCTTAAAGCTAAGAATGTGTAGCATCTTTTGTAAAGTTTTTAGAATTTTTACTTAGGAATTAAATTATTAAATATGTCTGAATACTTTACATAAGATGCTGTACATTCTCAGCTCTAATTTTACTTAGTATCATTTTTATTACTACTTTAATAAATAAAAAACTTTTATATATAGAAACGATTGACAAATATTTTCGGATTTTTTTATTTTTTTAAAAATTTTTTAATAAATTTTGGCCGGTTTTATTCACTTCTAAGTAAAATTCAAATTTTAACAGATAATACGAAAAGCTATTTTAATTAAAAGTTGTAGATATTATTTCTGTCTACAATCTCTTGATAAATAGTTGGCATCTATCGTTAATATCCATCAAGTCCGGTATGGATAACGTTCAAAGATTAAAGCGTAATTTCTCTATGTATAGACATTACAATCAATTTCAATACAAAATACATACATCAATACCAACCTTCATTAGAATAGGTAATGCATATTTTCAAAAAAAAACAATATATCTTAATAGTATGATAACAAAATTACAAATATCTACAATATTTATTACCTTATCAATGGCTAAAGGATCATGGACTCATTTACATGAAATCTTAAGAAAAACTGATAATCACAATACAATTTCTTCTTGAACTAAAACTTTACCAATTAGTAATGACATTTCAAACTCATACCTGTAATATAAAATGTGGTGGGCCAGCTCCAAATGGAGAAAAATGTAAAAAAGGATTTCTAAGATCTTATTCACTACACACATATTATGATCAAACTTCTTTTCGTTATACATATCATTACATTAATCACTATGACAAATGGATAGTACCTTATTATGTTCCAACTCTAATAATATGGAAAGCACATATGAATATCCAATATGTAACTAATCAAAGACTAGCACAATATATTACAAATTATATTGCTAAACCTGAGCCTTTCCGTCTTTTCAATATTCATGAAAGTACCAATTATCAAAAATATATTTATGCAAGAAGAATGGGTTCCATGGAAATTATGTTTTTATTATTAGGTGAAAAAATTTGTAATTCATTAATTCAAGTAATGTACCTTATTACTGATCCTCCATCAATCCATTCAAAAGCAAAAAACCACTCTCATTACTAAATTCTAATAATGATAATCCATATTGGACTGATCATATTGAAAAATATTTTAACAGACCAGATAATGAAATTTTTGAAAATATAACATATCAAGAATACTATAAAAATTATGAAATAAAAAATTCCATTAACAGAACAACAAGAAATAATACATATATAGATAAATTAGGAAATCAAATAATCAAAAGAAATTCATCAATATTAACAAGAATTCATTATTTAACTACAGAATATAGTGAATTGTATTTTTATCAAAAATTACTTGTTTCAATTCCTGCACGCTCTGAAGATAATCTAAAAGAAAATTATAATACTTATCATAATCATTTCTTGTCAAAATTTCCTGAAAGATTTTCTGAAACAATTGAACAAAATAGAAGAAACCATTATCTGCAAACAATTACCATGATTGAACAATTTAATACATTAATTGAAGAACTATTTTCATCAATGCAACAAACTTTATCCAATGATATTCAAAGGATAATAAAAATACAAATTGATTCAATAAAATCCTTTCCTCCAATACTTCCAACTAATCCCATAATTGAACTTCCTACTTCACAATATTATTGCATGCAAACTATAAAAAATTACATTGGTCCCAGAGATGGTCAACACTATCCATACTTTTTTATTACTGGATCAGCAGGAACAGGAAAATCCTTTATAATTAATCTCATAATTAATGAATTAAACAAAACCCATAGAAAATATCTTTTAATGGCTCCAACAGGAGTGGCGGTTCAAAATATTGGAGGTCATACTATACATTCTTCATTAAAAATTCACTCACATATGTCCTCATATCAAACTCTTGTATTTACTGATCAATTATTAAATCAAGATTTCAAAAATATAAACACAATTATAATTGAAGAAATATCTATGGTCTCATCTAAATTATTTTCCTATATTTCACAAATATTTTCTTATATACACCTTAATCCTGAACCATTTGGTAGAATTAATGTAATAGTAATTGGAGACCTTGACACAGCTTCTACCAGTTGAAAATCAACCAGTATATAAATCATCTATATAGAAAATATTTTATCCAATCTTCCTATGTTAACCACAGAGACAAAATTCAAATTCAGATTATTATTGCTTACTTGAAAACATTAGATTTGGAAAAATTGATCAATTTACTTGGAACATGTTACAAACCAAATTAAATCAAACCATTAATCATACATCTGAAAATTTAGAACAACTTTTAAATATAACATTAATAGTAGGGTATAAAGAATTTGCTGAACAAATCAATCAAACAAAATGTAATATGTTACCAATTCAAGATAACAAGCTTATGATATCCAATTCAATTGATATTATCAATCAAGAAATTCAAAATAATGAATATTCTAATAAATTATTTAAATGTAAAACAAATTTACCAAAAAAAAATGCAATTACAAATTGGTGCAAAAATAATGTTTCTGAACAATTCTGAATTTCAATATGGAATATGTAATGGAACTATTGGTGTTATCACAGATTTGAACATGGAAGCACAAAC